AGTCCTTGTGTAACCTGCTTATTGCTGGAGATACTTTTGGGATAATTCTCCTCAGGCTTCTAGTAACTGGCTGCAAACTCCCTCTGTCCACCTCCAGCTCTTTGTGCTGGCTGGACTGTGGAAATCAAAAGCCATTGCCACCTGCTAGAAGGCAAGACAAAGCAGTTGATCCTGCTTCAGAGACTAAAGGGAAAGGTGTTTTTTGAGGAAACATAACAAATTGCGTACTTGAAAACAAGGTCTCAGTAAATGCCAGGGACTGTGGGGTATGAACTGATGTTTTCATAGAATCATGGAATAGTTTGGGTTGGAAGGGACCTTAAAGATCATCCAGTTCCAACCCCCCTGCCATGGGCAGGGACACCTTCCACTAGACGAGGTTGCTCCAAGCCTCAGCCAGCCTGGCCTTGGACACTTCCAGGGATGGGGCATCCACAGCTTCTCTGGGCAACCTGTCCCAGTGCCTCCCCACCCTCTCTGTGAAGAACTTCTTCCTGATATCTAATCTAAACCTCCCCACTTTCAATTTAAACCCGTTCCCCCTTGTCCTGTCACTACAGACCCTTGTAAAAAGCCCCCCCCAGCACCCTTGTAGCCCCTTCAGGTACTGGAAGGCTGCAATAAGGTCTCCCCGGAGCCTTCTCTTCTCCAGGCTGAACAAGCCTAATTCTCGCAGTTTTCTTATTCTCGTGATCTGTATGGACTGAAAATCATTGTATGTCAAGCAGGAAAATGCTCTGCTACAGCCTCAAAATGGGACACACAGCTTTATCTTCTCAAGATCCCACTTGGTGCTACATTCAGTGGTCTTCAGTAAAAGATACTTATATTTGAAAACAGATACCTAATAACAGGAAAATAGATTGTCTTTTTAATCTGCAGATGAAAGTTTTATGTTTTAGAGAAGTTGTGATGATTTAGTCGTGCTGTTAAACCCTTTGTGTGGTGATCCTAAGTCATTCGAGTGCTCTAATGGATCCCATAACGTAATTATCCTCCCAGGATGTGTTACAACTGGGCGTCGCAAAGGAGCGACTGCATAAAGCGCATCCCTGTGCCGGTGTGTGGAAACCAATTCTGTGTGTTTCCCCGGTGTGTTAGGATTTGAAGCTCAGGTGTCAGCATTAGTGATATGTGAGATATTGTATGGAAAGATTTAAGTGAAATTTAAGTTTAGTTGCTTTAAAAAAACTATTGGGATGCTCTTTTTGGAATACATTTTCAGCACTGACTCTGAATTCAGAGTATTTTTATAGTTGCATACTTTTGATCTAGAGAAGATGAAAAAATAGAACATTTTAATGCATATTTAATAACAAAGCAACCTTCCTGCCTCAGAGAAAAATTCAGCCAGGTGAACTCTGATCTAATTTTCCTCTATAATGAAAACAAAATCATAGATCCTGAAGCATTATTCTTGGCTTCCAGCAGTTTCAAGGCATGCAAACATTGCCATTTCGACTCCATCCTGCAGTTTAACTGGAAGGATTATGTCACAACATAGTATGTTTGTTTTCCAGCTTTCTGTCTGTTTGTCCATCAAGGCATTTTTGTAGAAGTATTGGGGATTGTTGACTTTGGAGGGAGTGGAAGAAAAAATAATTATAAAAAAAAAAAAAAAAGGCAGACAGTACCATTGAAGCAACTGTGCTTCTGTCCTAGGAGAATGAATACTCCTTTCAACAAATCTATAATTTGCAGAAGTTGCAAAAAGAAAACAGCCGTAAGGTGACTGTTAACATACTTCAGTTCATCCTGCCAAGAAAGCTAACTTCATAAAGTCATTAAACCAGTGATTACATTTTAAAATATTATTCCCCAGCCATTTCTTCTTAGACTTTAAAATATAGTTACGGTATATACTGCCTTCTTTGTAATGTGAAAAATTGTAAAATACACTTATTTTTCATAAACTCCTAATTATTAACAGAGCTATTTGCGCTCCTATAGTTAAAGTCATTTCAACACTTCCGTTATTTAAACTTCACTTTTAGGGGGTCATAATTTGGCTGTAATAAAAAATACGCTCAGATTCAGAGGTCTTAAGTACTGTTTGCTGCTATTGGGAAATTTAACCTGTTTTTCTTTAAAAAACTAATTTGGATTGTTTGCTGTTCTTCAAGATAATCCCAAACAAAATGTTTTGTAATGTGGACTAAATAATTTCAATCATTTAAAAAATTAGGAAAAGACAGTGAGTATGTTGGAAATGCTGCTGCTGCCCCAAACCCTGTGACTGGCACTGAACATCACCGAGACTTGGAAAAGGGAGACGGTGGGGAACTCTTGCCCTGTCTCCACTGTGTCCATCGCTTAACCTCATATACAAAAAGTTATTGCAGCATTTATATCACACCTGATGATTTCTGTTCGAATCATCTGGAATCACAAGCAGCAGACCTGCCGCTTGCAAAGTCAACCCCCCCTTGCTTCCATGGCAGCAAGAAGTGAAGGAACTCCTGACTTCAGGGCTGCAGAACTGAAAGTTTCTTTCCTGCAATGATGGATGCTCGGGTGCTTGGAGATGGATCGTTTCTTTGGTATGGCTTCCTGAAATCCCCCTTCATCATGCAACGTGGCCACGGTAATGACTCAACAAGGTCATCAGCTCCGGAAATTCAGGAATCAGGGCTTATTGCATATTAATGGCAAGTCTGGGACAGTCAAATAAGACAGTTTGTTATAATACTAATTATAGCAAAGCACTCATGTTGTGGTTTGAATGAGTCAATTATGTGTGTGTTAAAACTATAAATACATCTTTCCCCCAACCTCGGCTGTGTGGTATGTAATTTTTTTTTAATTGCTTGGATACATATTTACCTGAGCATAACCTGGTTTCCCAGGTAAACATGTGTACCAATGCAGAACTCATTATGGTCTGTTTGGATAAATAATCCATATTTTATAACTGTACAGGAAGTAATTATTTTTGTGTTTCGCTTTCTTTAAGCCAAAGAAATTAAATGCTGTGTGTTCATTCCTTAAAATAAAATAGATGCAAAAGTAAAGGCAGTACAAGAATAAAGTTCTCATTGTTTGGTAAAAAACTGGGAATATTATTCCAGATTTTGATCTTGTGTTTAGCCCAGAATAACTCCATTAAAGTAAACAGTGTTATTCAGGTTTTACTTAGATGCAAATGGGACGTGAATTTGGCCTCCTCTCCTGACTCTCCCTTGATTCATTGGGAGGTTCCTGTAAGCAGCTTGCACACCGTCTTTGCTTTAAATGTTGTTGTCATGTGTTTATCATTTGGCAAAATGAAGTATTTCAGCTACACAGAAAAATTAACGTCTGTGAATTTTATGGTAAGAAAATTAAGGTCTCATAGAATCATAGAATGGATTGGGTTGGAAGGGACCTTAAAGATTATAGTGATGGTCCAACAGGTTTTAGGGAACTAGATCATACTTCCACATCAGATATTTCTACCCTTGTTTTATATGATATTTAGAAAAGCTGTGTTGTGTTATCACCATGCTAAGGTCAGGTTTTGTAACACTTTTAAGCTTACTGGGACCAGTGTCAGCCTTGGCATAAATCCATTAACTGCAATAGATTTACACCAGAGATGAATATTGGCTCGTTCTTGGTAAATTTATTTTTATCCAGCTCTTTATATTTTATGTTGGAAATATAAGTAGCTTGTGTGCCCTCAAACTAATCAGAATAAGAAACAGTTTTACTTAGGCCAAAAAACTAGAACTATCGTTTTTCGCATTCTTACATTTTTCAAGTAATACTATATCACTGTGACTTCTGAATTCCTGAAATCTCTCTGGTCTCTGTGACTGCAAGGGCCAAGAGAGGGTTTCGAGGGGAAAATCTGAAACTTCTCACGCAGTGTGTTTTGTGTTGTGCATATGAGATACAGTTAATGTTTTGTATGCATGTGATTAGTGTGGAAAAAAATTATAGCAGTCCAGTATTATGATTTATGGACTGAATCCTTTGCCCACTGAACACTTGCCAAAATGAAAATCTTTCTCCCCCCCACCCCCCGCCTCCTCCTTTGGATATTAGAAACAGCTACTGTTTTTGTTGATCTTTTTAACTTCTGAATAGGCCTATTTCAAGTCATAGCAGCATGGGAGCTCAGATTAATAATATACTTATTCAGCCAGTGATACTGAGTGAAACCATTGCTAGCGTGAGTATGAAGGATAGGATTTCTTTAAATTATTTTCAGGTGCATTAATGCATTTCTGAAAGAAGAATGTAGAGATATTTAAAAACGAATTAAATTTCTGTGTATCAATCCTGTTACAGGTGTGTATGAACTTCAGTGTCAAGGATTTTTTCAGGTGTCTCTCCTTTTGATAACTTCTGTGTTATGCTCACTGTCAGTTCATCCTTCAGATGGTTAACGAGGATAAGAGCAAGGAAATTATGATTAAATTTTGTCTTTTGGATGATGTTTTTGAATTTAGAGAAAAAGATGTATTCCATGCTGTGAAGCATCCTTTCTATCCCAATTATTCTACAGTATCATCTTATGCCAGAAAGAAAGGCTAGCAAGGTGAGACTAGCAAATCCCATAGACTTCTCTTGTGGATTTGGGATGGACCTCCCTAGCCCAGTAGTTTGATAAGCACCAGCTTGCACAAGTTTGGTTTCTAACCTTGTACTGGTTTTGATACAATCTATTTGTGTATAAACTAGCCCAAGTTCCCACACCTACTGAAGGTGAATCTAAGGCTGTTTTCCTTAGTCCCTTACAAAGAGTTTTTTGTTCTTTACAACACAGTTTAATGAGTTTGGGGCCTTCAGATGCACTGTTGCGATGGAGGCAAGGATGGTTCTTTGCTTCACATTCATTTGGCCACTTCTTATCAATTTTTGTGGCATTCTTTGCTCGATCCCATCTTTATCTCTTTCATATCTGAATGGCCTGGTCTGCTCAATAAGGTTTTTCCAATTACTTTATTAATAGAGTTGGTGTTTCCTATCAATTAATTTTCTTTCTCTCAAATGAAAAGAGACTAACCTTAAAAAGACTTCATGTGCGTCTGGTTTGTACTAATGGTAAGTCAAGTAGGGGTACAATTTCTTTCCAAAAATGCATTGGTAAGCTGTTTTAAATTAATATTTGTTATTCTAAAATATTTCGAGAGGGATCAGCCACCCTTCCACAGTTGCAGATAAAGTGCTATGGCAAGAATTTGGCATATTTACATTGCCTGAGAGAATTATATGTTCATTTTCTGGGCTAATGTGGTGCAAGGAAAGAAAAAAAAGATATGTAGTGCTTTTTAAAAGCAATCATTTTAAATACAAACAGAAAAAAGCTTTTTCTTGAGATTTGTCAAGAGTCTTTCAGGATATTTGTAAAATAGTTATTCACTTCTTGGCTAACAAGAGCCGAGTGACTGACACCTTTGAGGGTCCCAGCTTGTGTTTGCTGTGCACGACCATACAAAATATTATCTGAACTTACTTAAAACAAAACCTAGGGAGTAAGTTTTTTAACACAGAAACAGCCATTCTTATTTATTCATTTATTTTAGTTGCAGCAGGCAGCTGAAGTTTCTCAGCTGAGAGGAGCTCGAGTCATCTCTGCTGAAGATCTCCTGTTCTTAATGCGTAAAGATAAGGTATAGTAATCAGACTGAAATGTCTTACTTTACATAGTAAGCTGCTGATCGTGTTTTAAAGTGCTTGCTTAACCTCTGTGAAAGGCATCCATCATTGTGAATGGCTTTATTCATAATTATAGCTGCTTGGTACCCTGTTGTATTGTGCACTGTACAATAGTTGTATAAATTTTTAATTACTTCTCAATTTTTCCTGTAACTTAACTTATCAATAGATATTTTTTCATTAAGCTTTAGGGTGTGTAATGTACCCTAGAACTCAAAATAATTTTTAAATAAAGATTTAAATATTGATCCTTATCCTTTTTATTACTTTAATTAAAAAGAAATAATTCTAATATTCCCCTAGTTAGGCAGGTGTAGTTGTGATGGTTTTGTGACCATTACATTTTTGTCATGTAGGCTGTCAATAAGCCCTGTCTTGATTTTCCTTTCTAGTATTTTTTTATGAACTTTATCTCACTAAAATCTCTAAATTTAGGGATGGTCTTCCTTTCTCTGGGTAGTAAGTAGAAAAGGTAATTTTTTTTTTTTAATCCATACAAAGATTAATTTTCTTTCTTCAAATTTCAAAATAATTTATAAATTATTGTCAACTATTTGTATCAACATTATTTATTCTTCCTTTAACTCCTTTTCTTCCTTAGTTCCCCCCTTTTCCTCCCCCTTTCCTCTCTCCTTTGTTTTTCTTTCCTCATTTCATAAGTGAAACCTAATGACCAAAACCCTATCAAAACTAAAAAACACTAAAACATATAAACCAATTGCAATTTCTTTATCTGAGATGATCTATAAGGCTGTTCTGAAAACAGTCATTAATATGGATGTCAAAGTTCATGTCAATATGCATTTTTAGACTTGAATTTCCAGACTAAGCAAAGGTTTTTGAGTGCCCAAAAGAAGCCTGATTTCTGAATTTCTGCTTTCTGAAAGTCAAGCCCATTTCTGCCTCACAGCTGGCAAGCAAAGTGCCAAGGAGTGTAAAGAAATGATATTTAATGTAGAACTGCTCTGAATTTTATGTACTTTCTATGTATGGATTTTCTGCAGAATCAAAAATCGTGAACACTTTAAAAACTCTTTTTACTGAGTAACGTATTACACATTTGTATGTTTCTGTCTTACAAAGGCGGTCTAAGGGATATTAATACTAATGATATAAATGGTTCTTTTTCTCTTAGAAGAAGCTTAGAAGGCTGCTTAAATACATGTTTTTTCGAGACTATAAATCTAAAATTGTCAAAGGAATAGAAGAGGACGACCTCCTTGAAGGTAGAAGAAAAACATTACTTAATTTGGGAGAGTCTGAATATTTTATAAATGCACTGAACAGCTCAATGCAAAGCCTTAACATCTTGCTTAATAGATAAAGACAGAAAAGTATTGTCTTCAGATTAATTTTGTTTAAAATCTCTGGTTTTCCATGTGAAATACTTTAGGAGTAAATGTTTGCATCTACCTCCCTAAGTAAAAATGTCAGACTCTGTTGAAGTGCTGGTTAAAGGGCTAATTGAATTCAGTCTGTGTAATTTAAATGTACCAGCTACCACATGCAATAGTGTGGGCATTTGTTAAGTTATTATTAAAGGGTTTTGACATGTTTAAAAAAAACATTTATGATCTGAAGTCACTGAATTCTAATATATGACCGGGGCTTTTTTTCAGTGTGGTTTAAGATTTTATACTATGAATTTGTAGTTTAAATTTGGGGAAAAACTTTTGTTTCCCCATTCCATGAGCAAGTCACAGATTTTATAACCGAGGCATTTAAAGGAAAAGCAGTTTGTAATACAAATATATTAATATATGCCATATAATGCTGCTGTAAAGTTTTGTTGATTTCTAATAATACGATAATTAGCATTTCCTTTGTAAAAGTTAAAACTTATTATAGCAAATCTAAATCTTGCCATACTTTTATAACATCTACCAATGCCCATACACATCTTTTCATATTTAATTTATTTGTTTTCTCAGAGCCGTTTTGTTTTATTTTGTTTTGTTTTCCTTTCACTGAATTCCTTGTATTTTGTTCCTCCGAGCATCCACATTTATGTTAGGTCAACATTGTACTTCTTGCTTTGATTTAGTCAATCTGTGGATAAGTTTTTATCAACTCATTTGAGATTTAATTTGCCTGTGGCATTTCTATTTTCACCATGCGTGAAAGTATATAATTTCGTGCAAGAAATCTGTCAGTATAGCTTCTTACCTGACAGCTTTGGATTTTCTTCATACTCAACTCTGTCACTATTTAAAACAAATAAACAATTTTCGTAAGACATTCAGATGCTCGTGAAATGTTTCCTAAAAACAGTTCATCAGGGAATTAAAGACTTCGTTTTCTGGCATGCTCTGGTAATTGAAGCCATTCTTTTTTGTTTTGTGAAACTAATGGCTTTATAGCTGCTCTTCTGTTTAGAACAACAGAGGTCACCACACCAGGGTTCTCCAGGTTTTACTGTAGTGCAGTGGACCTTCATCTTAGTGTTTGTGTTATGGTTGTCTTTAGGCTGTAGTTAATGGGAATGTTTCATGTGCTTTCAGGAAGGAGCATTTCCTCTATATATTCTGTTGTACAAGTGAAGGTTTTGTACAAAGAAGGGTGGTTTCTTCTAAAACTCTATCCTCTGTGGATGCTTCAGTGAGAAATAATGAACAGTAGACTAGGTTTCTCTAGATTACTAAAAAAACCTAGGTTATACTAGCAAACACCGAAGGTTTTTCCTGCTGTGGTACTGCAACACAGCAGTGACATCACCTTGCTCAGGCAGCACGACTTGCCTAAGGCCTACAGTAAGAACAGGCCTTCCCTGTGTAGTACATGTGATTCTAAAACATGTCCTTCCTAGGGACATCAGTTGATATTTGGAAAAGCCGAATGACTTGTTTGTTCTTTGATTACCTTTTTTGAAGACAAATTCAACAGTAATAATACCAACAAACGGCAGAAGCTTGCTCAAGACTTTCTCAACTCCATTGACCAGACTGGAGAGCTCTTAGCCATGTTTGAAGATGATGAGATTGATGATATCAAGCAAGAGCGGATGGAGGTAATTCTTTTCTTTTACTGCTACCCAGCTCCAGCAGAGAAAACAGCAAAGTATTTCATACCTCATGCTAGTCCAATGCCTTTTTTGTGCCGCATGTATCTTTGTTACATGTTTCTTCCTTTTGCCCAGATGGTCTAAAGGCATCCTATTTCCATATTCTTCCTATTCCCTCACAAGTTTCCTGATATCTAAGCACGCATGCTGAGAAGGAAGAGTACGAAAGGATAGTTACGGATCCTTCTGTCTGCCATGTATTTGTATTTTCTTCCTGTAAAAGCAAATTCAATTTATAAACATTTCATATGCATTTTTTGCGGTACTTTTTTTCTTTTTCATTATTCCTCTCATTAGAAATTGTTTCAGTAATATTTGAGGGCTCTTTTATATAAAACAGCTTACAGATAAAATTAGATATTCTGTACAAACATGCTTCAGTATGTGCTATTCTCTCAAACCTGCTTTCAAGTCCTATTCTCTGATCTATGTACATATGAAAAATTATGTCAGCATTGCAGAATGCAGTAACATACCACTCTCAAAAAGCCAGCCTGGGATCAAGAAGCAGTATAGCTGTGTTGGCATGGAAGTCTGCAGAATGATGGTTTTGATACTCGTTGCTTTTGATACTAGTTTTACTCGGTTTCACTGAGGTTTAGCTATACTGGCACAAGATATTACATCACAGCAAGTATGCCTTATACATTTTATCAACCCTATGCCCTCTTGGATGTCATTTACTCTGGAGTATTTGTAAGATCCACAGACCATATCTCTGCTAATCAATGAACGAGGCCAGGGGCAGTTCTCTGGCCCTGAAGGCAGGTGACATGGCCTGCTTTGAGTCCCTGTGGCAAAATTTTTTGTAGGTGGAGAGAGCTCCCGTGCCTTTTCAGTAGCCCTGCACTTAGTAGACATGGAGCACAGCCCACGGCCCCTGTTCATGCTCAGTTCCTGCTCATGTCTTGTGTGGGCAACTGGATGTCCAAGGCAAAATTGTGCCAGGAGAATGCTCACAATTCACACTGGTGTTTGGTCCAATTTCCTCCCTTTTTAGTCAGTAGTATAGCATATTGGCTGTTGGAAACATGCTATTTTTTGAGTGCTTTTTATACCCTTTCAGTGGTAGAAGCTGGTGGCTTTGCTTTGCTTTTCTATGCTGAGCTGTCTGATGCATTCAGTAATATTTGTGTATTTAGTATTTGACTACTAGAGCATCATTTCACTTCCAGGATTTTGTGCAAAATTCTAGAAAATAACCTGTTTTTTCTCCTGCCCTAGTTGGAACTCTCATTTTTTTCTTCTTGATGGAGCCCCTTTTCAGAACTGGGATTTTCCCAGTCCTGTTTCCCCTTCTCCCCATTACAATCACTCAAAACCTAATAATGAATCCCTTCTCTCCAAGAATTTGTCTAGGAAAAATACCATTTCTCCCCAGCTAAGAATCAGTGTCATAGAACAGTTGTTGCCAACTACTTTTTGTGTTTTGGAAACTGGTGATTTCTTCCTTTTCCCTTTCCCTTTCCCTTTCCCTTTCCCTTTCCCTTTTCCTTTTCACTTCTCCCATCCTTTTTCTCTTCCTTCCTTCCCCTTTCCCTTTCCCTTTCCCTTCCTCTTCCCCTTCCCCTTTCCCCTTCCCCTTCCCCTTCCCTTTCCCCTTCCCCTTTCCCTTTTCTCTTTTCCCTTTTTCCTTTTCCCTTTTCCTTTCCTTCTCCTTCTCCTTGTCCTCTCCTCCTACATATTCATTTATACAAAGTTTTATGTTTTGCATAAGGGCAGGCAAATCCATTGAGCTTGTAAGCATAAAAATATGTGCTTACAAAAATACATTCCTTTTTCAGTTTAAATAACTACACACATTGCTAGAAGTAGCCGTCTCCTAGGTGAGGACAAATCTGACTCTGTGTTTGTCTGTCAAGGAATATGTTCCTGTAATCAAATATTTATCTTTCATCTGACTACGTGTTTTGTTTTTTCTCACTAGACTATAATTCATGAACTATAGTGTCCATATATATATTTAAAGTAATTCTACTCTCTGTTGCTCTACTTTATTATAATTTGTGAACTCTTGATCTGTTTCGCTGTTAAAAAAAGATAAAAATCAAAATCTACTTCTTTTATAATAGATCCATGAATTATATACAGGTATGAAGTCAGTACTATGTATTTTCTTTCATATTATTTTTTTAAAACTAATGACACCACATGAAAGATGGCTTGAGATGTGCCATTCAAAATGTTTAATATATTTTTGGCTTTGTTTTGTTTGCGATTTTGTTGTCACTTTGACGTGGGTGGAAAGGAATCAAAGATAGTAGGAAATGTGATCCACTCCTAAAGGCAGAGTTGTTCCTGGATGGGCTAATCTCGTGTATCACATTTTCTTTGTGCAGTAGGTTGTTTAATCCATGCTAGGTTTTAGAGGAAATCTAATAGACACTTTAAAAATTCTAACAGCATTCTTTAAGGAATTAGTATACTTACATCACAAACCGTGATCTAAAGGCTGTGTTCCTTTTAGGTATCAATTACCTCAGATATGTGTGGTTATCTCAGTTTGGACAACTGTGAATGATTTCAGTTCTCCTTTGCCTTGGGCCAAAATCATGCTGGAGTTGTCCAGAGCAGATGATAAACATATATTTCTGATGTTATTATGGGCTAAACAGGATACGACTGTTTAGCAGTATGGTTTCAGTTATGATACAAAAAGCAAATACTGTTTATACTCATTCCTTTTAAAACATTTTATAAAATCAGAGCTTAGACTTCATGAGATCGCTGGCTGTTCTGTATGGTCTATTCCATCTTTGTACCATGGATGAGTAAGCAAAGCTCCAAGCCACTTTGAAACATTACTAAAGGAGAACAAACCGGTCTACGCTTTTCACTGAAAAACACCTCTAACACAGTGATGTTAAAAAAAAATAAAGGACATCCTTCTAGGATGGTATATAGAAGTTATTGATGTATCCTGTGGTTTTCATTTGAAGGAAAGGGACTATCTCTAAAACAGTAATAATAGCAGTGTGCAGTAGAAGGTGAAATACTTTCAGTACAGAACTAAATTATGAAACAAAATCACATTGCTTTTTAATAATACATGATTATGTTATTAATACATTGAGATCATCCAACCTAAACCATTCTGTGATTCTATGATCATTACTTTTTATGAGAACTTCAGTAATAGCAATAAATAGTGTCAAACCAACCGTCTTGGCAGAATCAAAACAAAATAAAAAATGGAATAGCACCTCTGTGTCACTTCATAACAATTATTGTTTTGCCCTTCTAAGGTAGCAGCAAACACCAGTGAAATGCTGCTCTTCAGACTAAGAACAGTTGGAATAAATGATTCTAGTTCATAGATGGAACTATGCACGTGAAGGAGCATATCGCCCCATGGCAGGGGAGTTGGAACTGGATAATCTTTAAGGTCCCTTCCAACCCAAACCATTCCGTGATTCTGTGGTATCATAGAATGTTATGTGTTATATATCATCCTAGAATCATAGAAAGTGTCTTCATAACAGGTGACAGTCTCTTGAGAATAAAATCTAAAGGTGGTCTACCTAACAACCCCTTTTTTATGGTACAGGTTAAGCTCTGGATTAACCAGAGCTGGTGGTGCTCGGGAATTCACTTTTCCTTCTGTAGTCTGTTGTATGACAGAATCCACAAGAAGTAATACCTTGCATGTGGATTGCAGTTTTGATTTCCTCTGTCTCTTAAAAATCATTTAGAACAGAGAGTTGGGATTCCTGTGGGATATGGCTGAGTCAGTGGGGAGAGAACCTGAATTCACTCATTTAAAATCTCGGAATTTTGCCTTATTTTGTAGTTTGGGTAGAGATGCAGGTTTGGGTGTTTGTGTTCTTATGTTTCTACTCTGCACCTCTCAGGTGACCTGCCCGTAGTTAAACTAGCTGCAGGTTCTGCTGTGATTTTGTGAATGGTAATGGTAATTCTTCTATATTTTCGTTTCAGAACCACTATCAAATTTACCATCTTAGCAAAATCAAGTGTAGCTGTGTTAAAAACTCAGTGGCACTTCAAAGCTGAATTCTTACTCAGTCTGTAAACATCCATTTTTTCTCATTTGTTTTATAGTTCCACCTCCCCCACCAGGAAAAGGTCTTGCCATCAGAAATCTGAACTGACATACAAAGGAATGCATAGAGCATCATGCTGTGAATACTCTGCTTCACTTTTGTTCCCATAGGATTAAAAGAAACACCATTCATCTGTCACTCTGACTGCTAGTTTAGGGATATATTTCCAACACTCAGATGTTATATGGCAGTAATTCAGTTGCAGTAGCTACCATAATGCTTTCAGAGTACAAGTTTGAATAAACAGGGCAGGGAAAATATCTTCCCTGGAAGAATATACTACCTTGAAAACAGGCTAGATGCCAGAAAAATGATAAAACTAAGTTACATCCCTGCAGAAAGGGGTTGGCAGAAGCTTGTGTTTCTTTCAGGTGTATTGTTCTAGGACAATATGTTATAGGACAAGAGGTAACGAGTTTAAATTGAAAGTGGGGAGGTTTAGATTAGATATCAGGAAGAAGTTCTTCACGGAGAGGGTGTTGAGGCACTGGCACAGGGTGCCCAGAGAAGCTGTGGATGCCCCATCCCTGGAAGTGTTCAAGGCCAGGCTGGATGAGGCTTGGAGCAACCTGGTCTAGTGGAAGGTGTCCCTGCCCATGGCAGGGGGATGGGAACTAGATGGTCTTTAAGGTCCCTTCCAACCCAAACCATCCTGTGACTCTAGGAGATTCATCATGGATGTGATGTTCCTTGTACTATTCAGTAGTATGCTTCTTTACAAACCTCACAGAAATGTAATTGGCCCTGTGCAAAATATAGTAGATAGCAATGAAGTGTAGGTGTGTTTGGAATATACCCTGTGTCCACATGAGGTGAAATGACTCCTATTTGATTTTGATGGTGTTCAGATACAATTAATTTCTGTCCATCAAACACACTTAAAAA